TCCACTGGGTAAAACATCTCCTCATAGTCAAAATCGTATTATTGAGAATACCCTTTTGCCACAAGTATGGCCATGTATCGCACAACATATCCATCAAACTTTTTTTTATCTTATACACCTAATGAAAACCAATCGTATGTTTCAAATCCCATGTATGAGACTGATAAAGAGTAGCGATTTCCTTAACCAAAGTACTTTGCCAAAGAGGAGCTAATACAACCTCTCTTAATGATGCAGGTTCAGACAAATAAGGGATGATGGCTATAAATGAGACAAATAAAACTGAGTATATAGAGTAAGAAAAAGCAGGAAGCCTGGTAAACTTGGTAGGATGAGTAGACCTCCTGAGGGGTGGTCGAGGTGGATCTCTAATCTCAACAGTTGAAGGAGTAGGCTTAAGAACATGAGGAGTTGAGGTACTATCTAAAGAAGTTGGTGGACCAACTCGGCGAGTCGAGTCAACCAGATGTTAACTTTGACCAGATGATTGACCATTGACCAAGGTGTTAACCTTAACTTTGTCTTGGACTGGAGTTGATCCCTTGTAAGGGTTGCGAGTGTGGATTGATAAGTTAGAAAAGTTTTTGTGTAGGGATCAAAGATTCGAGGAGAGTTGGTATTTATATCGAGATCACTGCAGATACTACACGACTTTGAGGTGAGTTTTCTCCTAGTAGGAGTGGGTCTACGACCACAATGTCGACCCACAAGTAAGAGTGTTGGATAGATGATTGTCTTTGTGATAATTATCTAGTGTTGATATGAGATATGATTATTATGCTTGATATGATTATTGTGCTTGATATGTATTAGCAGTAGTAGGGGTGAAATAGTTCCCAGTTATTGGTTGAAAGATACCGAAGGGGAGGGTAGCTCCTAGTTATCGGTAGAAAGATACCGAAGGGGAGGTTAGTTCCCGGTTACCGGTTGAAAGATACCGAGGAGGATCCCAGCTCCTGGCTATGTTCGACAATTACCGGTTGAAAGATACCGAAGATTATGTATTATTTGGTATGAGTATGATGGGGGTAACTCACTAAGTTTTGTGCTTACGGTTTTTAGTTTTGGTTTCAGGTACCTCTTCATCTAAGGGGAAGGAGCCGATGGGGTAGCAGTGCATCACACATTCACACATGATATTCCGCATTTGAGTAACCTGGGATTGTACTTTGATATTATACTATTTACTAATATGGTTTTGAGACTTGTGATTTGTGACTTTATGTTTGAAAGGATTTTAAATTATGTTTTCCGTGAACTATTTTACAAGTAATATACTTTAAAACAAAAAAAATTTAGGTCTCGATTTTGTGATGTTACATGCTCTATAAAATCAAATAAATTATAACTTTAAATACATACTAGGAAGCAGACGTTACAAATCATTAGATTTGGTTTTTATTATGTGATTCTATCTAGTGGTTTCAGTTTTGTGCTTAATGAATGTTTAATTTTTAGTTTTTTTTAGACTGATCACCTGATTAGGATCATAATTCTAGTTAATCAGTTGTTAAAATATGTAATTGTTTTAATCAACTGGTAGTAAGTAGCAAGTAACATATTGATTATGTGTTGAGATTTGACTTTGTTATAAACTTAAAATAATATATTTTTATATTTCCAAGCTTGTGAGAAGTATTAAATATTGTTGAGAATTTTATATAGATCATAATGTTGTTTTTCTGACTTGATTAAGAGCTTGTTTAATCAGGTTAGTAAAAATTTAGGATTAACCGAACACTTTGTTTTAGTTAATTAACTAGGTAAAACAGAACTTACTAGAGCTTGTTAGTAGTTTTCAGTACCAACTTAGATATAAGACATCTTAAATAATCATATTTGGATTGATTGCATGATTAGAAAGTAGTAGTAGAACCAAATTGTTTTTTTATTATTGAATTTTATTTATTTTATTTAACTGTAATTTTTAGCTCTAATTCTAAACAAAAACCCCCCTTTACATTTTATGCTTTTGACTATATTTGTTTAAAACGTCTACGACAACGTTTAACAACTATCTAAGACCAACATGTTAACCAAAAGTTAACCTAGTCAAAAGTCAACGGTCAACAATCAAAGTCAACCCTATAGACCACTATGTCGTGGCAAGACCTTGGCCACACTGTGATCTGGCTCGAATAGAAACACGATGAATCTACTCACCGCGCCATGGTCCACACTTGACCAAGCCATGGTCAATCTGGTAGATCCAATTTCATGTTAAGTTCTTAATCCCTTTCCATGGAACATCCATCTCCCTACTATAGAAGGAAGATGACAGTTAGAAGTTGGTTGCACAAAAAATGACACCAAAAGGGGTAGTTACAATGGTTGTTACAAAACATAACAACCTATTAAATCATCACCGCTAGGGGCTCTACCCCTCGGACCCCAAAAACATAGCTGCTCCTAGACCCTGCCAGGTGCTCTGCCCCCATACTCTCATATTTATGAGTTCATATTTATCACTCCGAATGTGCACCGTGCATCTCCAATCTCGGACAATAAACCAAACTCAATCTGTCTCTATAGAAATTATAATTACATTAAATATATTGATAACACTAAGGTGCTGTTTGTTTTTTCTGAGGTAAAATGTCTGCAGTCTGCGGACCATATCTATAGACCTCTGCAATAGAAGAGGTGGACTAAACGTTTGCAGTCAGAAAAAAGAAGACTGTTTTTTTAACATCTGCGAGTTACTAAAATAAACTGATTTTTTTAAACTTCAAAGTGATTTTTTTAGTATTTTTTTGATTTTGTTATAAACAATTAACGAATCTAGATTAACTTTTATGTATTATTGTATAAAAATAAAAATAAAAATATAAATGGTATTAATTAACATACATATTTGATAAAAACCAACAACTTTGGTTGCAAAGTTATAACTAAACATTATAATTAATGATCAAAGAGTTTGATACATAAATAGATGGAAATAAACTTCAATTTTTTCAACTAATTCTATTAAAAACGTACCATAAATATTTTCTTGAGAAATTGACGATACTGTATTAAATAATGTTTTACAAAATTTGGCAAAAAAAAAATATAAGAATATATTATAATTTTTTTTTCAAATTTATATAAACAACTTCAACGACTATTATTGTAATAAATTTTTATTTATAAATTTGTCAAAAATATCTTTTTGTATCGTCGAATGTTTTTTTTATAAGTTTTGTATTTTTTTTTCAAATAGTTTATCATTAATAAAGTTGGAAAAAATATAAATTAAAAAAAAACTTAAATATATATATATATATATATATATATATATATATATATATATATATATATATATATATATATATATGTTTTTTAGGCTAGAAGATGTCTGAAGATGTTAGAAGACTCTGGTCTACATCTGCACCAAGAAGAGGGCGCACAAACGTTTTTAGGTCTGCAGTCTTCAAAAAAAAAAAAAAACAATCTGCGAAGGCTAATATCTGCGCGTGATCTGCACGACGCAGACAGAAGAGACCACACAGATCTACAGACAAAAAACAAACACTACCTAAATCACGAACAAATTGTGCATTTTGATTTCAACTCTCAGACTTAATGCTTTGTATCAGGAACAAATGATTAACTTGGATAACAAAGTCATTGGTAGATTAGATTTTTAGAATAGTAAAGAAATTGTTTCATAGATTGTTTTTCCAATATAAAAGGTTAACCATTTCAAAAAAACAATATATCACTGATTTTCTACCAACCCATATCGTTTCGAAGAGGTATAGTAAAAAAATTATTTGATGGGTTGTTTTTCAAATATAAAAAATCAACCTTTTAATAGTTTTTTTTTTTTTTTTTTTTTTGAAACGACAAAGCTAACCTATTACACCTTAAATCCACTTATATCCACGACGAGATTTGAACCCTCAACCTTAAGGAAGGAGGGTAGTACCAGGTATTGCTGGGCTAGAAGCCCTTTGATTTTTAATAGGTATAAAAACAATATATCACTAATTTTCTCCCAACCCATATTGTTTGGAATAATTTAGTTATGTTAGCTTGGCATATGAACATGTTAGTATTGATATTATACGATAAGATTTATAAGAATAATTAACTATATTCTCAAACTTGTAATTAAGTTTTTCTGTAAGCACATTTCATTAAAAAATGCAAGAAAACTGTAGAGTCTGCTATTAAATTAATGGCTTCATTATCTATAAATTTACATTTTAAGCTCTATGATATTATAAGTTACATACGGTCTCGATATTAATGGTGTCTTTATGAAGATTTGACATGTCCCATTGTAGTGGAATCTGTGACTAACAACCTGATGGCAATGGCTTAACTTTATAACCTTCATATATATATATATATATATATATATATATATATATTCCCCACTTGTTTGGGTTAATTTGAAATTAATATTTTTTAAATATAAATATGTTTTTTTTTGTTTATCAATAACTACTGATAAGATCATAGCATCCAAAATTCTGAGAATTTCGTGATGAAATATGGTTGAAAGTTCAGTTTTATAATGGCAAATTGGCAATAAAGTATGTTTATAGAGGAATATATTTTGAGAAAAATAATAAAAAATAGAACAATTCGTTAGGGGATTATGTCACGTTTAGAGATGTTGTGACTTTTTGTGAATGGAGGGACCATTGTCTATAGACTTGAGTGATTACTATTGTGCTATTTTAGGTACATGTTAATTTCTCGATAAATGCATTTAGATATTTGATAAAAGCAAGTCTAAAATCTAGAGACGATTAAATTAATTTTTTTGTTTCTGTTGTCTTTTCACTATCTATTAAACGTCAAAATTCTAATTAAGAAGAAGAACAGTTATTAGCGGCTTGATAGTCGGTTAATTTAAGGAAATATGATTCGTCTTAGATTTTAGGATTCCAACTTTCCATCCGTATATACGACTACGACTATACAGTTAACAGTCTAAATAGCAGAGAAAATCACACACTACTATCGATACGTATCTACTCTTCCATTTTTTAAAGATTTTGGAGAGGGAGAACATGAAAGATAATGGGGTTTGAGAGAGAAGTAAAGCAAAGCTCATCTACAGAAGACAGCTATTAAGTTTGTAGGGTTTTCGACTTTTCTTTTTTCATATAAAAACCCCAAAAAAACCAACTAAAGAAGCCCCTTTTCTTTGAATACACCCAGAGGAACCGGCAATGTTGCTTCATTTTTGAAACCGAATCGACGATCGCTTGTCAGAATCCAAGATCTTTACATTTACATTGCAGTTACATAAGGTACTTATCGGATTCCTGCTACCGCTTCTTGATTTCTCATTTCAAACTTGCTAGGGTTTTTCTATCTACAACTTATCTTTTTTTGGCAATTAACCTCGTATTCACTTGGCATTTTCTTGTTTTTGGTAATCGATGGTCGCGATTTATATGCTACACTACTGAAACAACTTTTGTTTATCTCTCCACACATCACCACAAAACTTATCTTCAGTTACAAATGGTGGTTTTTGCTTCAACAACCAATTGATTCGCATTTCGATTCTTCTGTGTAGAATCAGATCTGAGGCAGCTTTTCATTTCAGGTGTATCGCGTTTTTAGTTCGTATTAGGTCAAATGGTTCACATTTAGGTTTGATTAGCAAAGTAGGATCTTTAGTACACAAAATTACGAACCGACTATGAACAATTCATATCATCTTTTCACATAATTAATTCACATTGTTTTTTAGGGATCTTTGAGGCTGCTTACTGATATCTTGTATCCTATGTTAAAAGAAGATGGAATTGGACATGCCTCTTGATTACGCAGCATTCCAACTCTCACCAAAACATTCAAGGTAACTTCAATTTTTAATACTTTATAGTACAATTTGTTTTGATGATTTTGTCTAACTGCATTTAATCCTTCTAACCACTTTTTGTGCAGATGTGAATTGATTGTTTCCAGTAATGGAAACACTGAAAAGCTTGCATCAGGTTTAGTGAAGCCATTTTTGACACATTTGAAGGTTGTGGAGGAACAAGTTGGATCCTCAGCTCAATTCATTAAGCTTGAAGTTGATAAACGTAAAAATGTGGACTCATGGTTCACAAAGGGAACACTTGAGAGGTAGTGTCCTTATACAAAATATAAAGCTTATAAGTTTGAAATTTTGTTATAATCATATAATTGATAGCTTTTGTTATCAGGTTTGTTCGTTTTGTTAGTACACCTGAAATTGTAGAACTAGTGATCACCTTTGATGCTGAGATGTCTCAACTAGAAGCAGCACGTAAAATATATTCACAGGTATGTGGTTTTAAATTATATATAATTCAAATTGTTCATATAATTAAGGTTGCTCATGTAATTAAAGGTTTCATGTTGATTTCAGGGATCATCTGATCAGCTATCGAGTAACTTAGGTGATGGTAGATCAAGCACAGCAACTAGGGCTGATGCAACAAAGTAAAGTTAAATTTTATTAAATGTGCTATCTTTTTTTGGTTTTGTTAAAATCTGTGTTGACTGTTGAGTTGACTATCTTGCTTCCTTTTTTATAGGAAGGAGCTTTTGAGGGCAATTGATGTAAGGCTGACAGCTGTGAAGCAGGATTTGAATACAGCTTGTGCACGTGCCACTGCTGCTGGTTTTAACCATGACTCAGTAGCTGACCTCCAGTTGTTTGCAGAGAGGTTTGGTGCCACTCGCCTAAAGTAAGAAATCTTTTCTTCCATTTTCTCTCTTGTTTTTTTGTGTCATGTAATTGATTATGAAAGATCATGTACTTCTTTTGTAGCATGAAAATGGCAATCGAGTGAAAATCCACTTTAAGACCTAATAAAGAGAGTGAAAAGATTCTGTAGTATTTATTGATGAGTTGGAAACTAATTTATGTACATTCATCGTATTTACTTTTAAACATAAAGAGAACATATTCCATGAGTGTTGGGAAACCACTTAGAATTGCTCTGATGACAAGCTAGACACATAAAACACTTCTGATTGTCTCATAGTTATATTTTGTATTTGATACCGAAGAATGTTCATTATCAGTTGAATTTAGCGTCAATAATATTCAGCATTAAATGCACCTTGTTATCGCATTTAATGTTTGCCTCTCATTCATGCTAAATCACCATACGACCTTGGTAAGTTTTTTATTTAAAGAAATGAAAAGTGCGATTTTTTTAATCATTACTCCAAAAGATCTGTGCTTATATAAAGCATTTCAAACTCTGCATTTATGTGCAATCTAACCAATATCATCATGCTGTCTTTATATATTGTTTTCTAAAACATTAAACTGGGATCAACAGCAACCCACAAAAATTTCTATTTTCTTTTTAGGGTTTGAAGTTTTTAATATAAAGATTTCCTAATTGTTGTGCAGTGAAGCTTGCTGTAAATATATATCACTCTGTGACAGACGTCCAGAGTTGTTCAAAAATTCATCAAAATCCAGCTTTAAAGATCAAGCCATCCGGTGTTCTTACAGCTCAGACATGTCTATAGATGATGAACCACCACCTATCACCACTGAGCAGTCTCCATCACCTACACCAGACCAATCTGCTAAACCTGCCATCACTTCTCAGCCACCCAAACTAAAGAAAGAAGAGGCTGGTGGTGGTGGTGTGTCTGAGGAGCCCTTTCCTCAGCCACCGCCCACCCAGCCATCTTCTAGGCGGCTCAGTGTACAAGACCGGATTAATCTTTTTGAAAACAAACAGAAAGAGGTTGTTTCTGGTTCTGGTTCTGGTTCTGGTTCTGGTTCCGCCACCGGAAGTGGCGGCAAACCCGCCATTGTTAAGCCTGAGCTTCGTAGGCTTTCATCTGATATTTCAGCTCCTCCACCTTCTGTTTTGAGAAGATGGAGTGGTGCTAGTGATATGAGCATTGATCTAAGTGGAGAGAAGAAGGAAGCTACAAACGAGACACCAAATTCTGCTAAAACAGAGGTCCAAAAAGATCAAGATCAGCCTCATGTTTCTAAGATGGAGACAAGTTCTGGGACACAACCTGAAGAATCTGTTTGTTCTAACCAACCGGGGCCCACTTTGGAAAAGACTCAATCTATTTCATCTGTAACCAAATTGGAAGATGATTCATTGGAAATGAAGTTAAAACTTCCTACCAAGATCAAGTCTTTTCATGGTGGTGTGTCAAATCAAGAAGAGTTCAAGCCTAGAGTTGTTGAAACTTCACACCATGAAGCGGATACAAGATCATTAGAGTCCGATTCGAAGCCAGTGAATTTAAAAGCTCCTGTGAAGAACACTGCAATAGAGAAACAACCTGGGCTCCAAAAAACAAAGATTCAAAAGAACGAAAGCAGATATATTGATGGATATAGTAACACTAACACTAACACACCACCTTCTGGTAAGCTTTTGGGATCAGGGTCAACAACAACGCCATTAGAAGCTCTTGGTGAACAAACACAAACACAAACACATAGGTCAAGACAATTGAAAGGGAATCAAGAACTGAATGATGAGCTTAAAATGAAAGCAAATGAACTAGAAAAGCTTTTTGCAGAGCATAAGCTTCGAGATCAACCTAATTATAACACACATCAAAGTAAGCCTGTTGTTTCTACTCAGGTTCCTGAACCAACTAGGGTGGTGTTTAAATCTCCTATTCAAGTGGATGATCAGAATCCCAGAGATGGGCTTCAAAGAAGTATTTCTGAGATTGGATTTTCCGACGAATCAAAAGGAAAATTCTATAATAGTTACATGAAGAAAAGAGAGGAAAGGTTAAGGGAACAATGGGGTTCCAATAAATCAGAAAAAGAAGCTAGAATGAAAGCCATGCATGATAGGCTTGAGCACAGTAGTGCTGAAATGAAGGCCAAACTTTTGTTTTCTGCAGATAGACAAGACCCTATGTCAAGTGCTCGTAGACGTGCTGAGAGATTAAGGTCATTTAATGCTCGATCAGTTATGAAGCGAGAGAAGGTAATTTATCAAACTTTATTTGAAATATAAACTTTATTAAAACTAATGAAGATGCTTTACTTATGGCAACAGGGATTAGATTTTGGGCAGCTTGAAGATGATGAAGATATATCTGAATTTTCAGAGCTGAAACTTATGAGTAGTAATGGTGTTTCTAGGAATGTTCAAGGTAAAAAGCCATTACCTGTGAAAAATCCTTCTACATCCACACCACGGACCCCATCTGCACCAATTCTTCCAAGGTCAAAAGTAGCATCTGCTTCTGGGAGTGGGAGGCGAAGGGCACAATCGGAAAATCCTCTCGCACAATCTGTCCCTAACTTTTTAGACTTGCGAAAAGAAAATACAAAACCATATTCTGTTGCCAGCAAGGCAGCTGCACGAAGAAACCATACTCATACGCATACGCGTAGCAGAAGTACCAATGAGGAGATGCCAGCTGTCAAGGAAGAGAAAACGGTAAGGTCTCAGTCTTTAAGGAAGAAGTCCCCAACTCCTCCTGAGAACATGGAACACAAGTCTTTTCATAGGAGGAATAACAGCATAGGTGGAAGTGGTATTGGAAAGATGAAGGCGTCAATGGTGTCTGAAGTTGTTATAAAAAAAGAAGAAGAATATGAGCCAGAAGTGATGGAAGAAGAAGAAGATGATGATGAAGAAGATGAGGATGAAGATGAAGAGTTTGATACCATGGAAATGGAAGCTCAAGATGCAGTGGAGACGGAGTCGAAAAGCGAGAGTTTGATAAACTCTGAACCTGGAAACGGAAACGAAGTTGCCTCACAGACATTTTCACAAACACCTGATGTGCAAGATTCACCTGGTGAAAGCCCGATGTCATGGCATCATCCTTTTTCCTCTGATAATCTAGAATCTTGGAATCTACATGGTCTTAATTCATCAGAAGCAGAGGTAGCTCGTATGAGGAAGAAATGGGGAAGCACCCAAAAGAATATTCTTGTTGCCAACTCCAACTCCAACTCCAATTCTTCTTCTGGTGTTCAATCTCGTAAAGACATGACAAAAGGATTCAAAAGGTTACTGAAATTTGGAAGGAAAAGCCGTGGCACTGACAGCATGGCTGATTGGATTTCTGCTACAACTTCAGAGGGAGATGATGATACAGAAGATGGAAGAGATATTTCCAATCGTTCATCAGATGATCTAAGAAAGTCAAGAATGGGGTTGGAGTATTCCCATGGTCTCCCTTTTGAAAGTAGCTACAATGAAACCGATTATTTTAGCGATCAAGGTGAGCTCAAAACTCATAATTTTTTACATATAAATATTATGTTCTTGATTGATGATAATCAATAATACATTTGTTTTGCATCATGACAGTTCATACATTGCAGACCTCAATCCCTACACCTCCAGCAAACTTTAGACTGAGGGAGGATCACCTTTCCGGAAGCTCTATCAAAGGTATGATCTAATAATCTAACATTAAAGTTTTATTTTATTTTATTTGAATTATTAGTTTAAAAGGAAGGAATTATTTATGTTGTTGGTTGTTGAACAGCGCCTCGATCTTTCTTCTCTTTGTCATCATTTCGCAGCAAAGGAAGTGACTCAAAGCTGAGATGAGTTGGTATTTGAATATCGGGGGAGTGTTTGTGATGGATCTCATGTTGGTTGATTGGTATATATAAAATTAAAAAATAGAGAGAGAATGATTGAAGTTGGCAAACATGATGAGTTATTTTTGGTTGTTGTATATGAGGAGGGTAAATAACCTTATTGTCGAATTCCCTAGTCTTTATTAAGCAAGCAACTATTCCATTTTTTTTTTTGGCCTTGGTTCATTTCGAATTCTGACATTGGAATGGGTATGTGAATTGATGGATGGATGTTGTTACTTGTAGTAATTCCTTTCTAGGGTTGTGATTCCATTTGTTTAGTAATGATGTGGCATTTGATTTTGAGCTATATGTAAATTTGTACTCATTGTATCACGACTTGATCTCTGTTTACCAAAATTCTGAATAGTTGTATTATTAGAAAAAAGTGATCGATGGCTGTGTTGTATGACCTATGACAAATCAATGATTATTTCATCTGAATGAGCTCATTTTGAACAACAAAATGCTTTTGGTTGAGCAACTGGAATGTTGGATGTTGGTCCTAGTTGGGAATTTTGTTTAGATTATGAAACAAGATTTTAATCCCATGTTATTTATCTGTTTTTCATTTTGGCTTCATTCATTCTAGAATTATGTTTCACTTGATTTATCTCGATAAAAATGTAAATATTTTTATTTTAGGATGTAACAATATCCTTTGAAGCAGTCACAGTTAGATTTTTCATTCTAAAAAAGCAACGAAAAAGGAGTTTTTTCAATCAACTTGTAAATTTGGAAACTCCTGATTGAAATCTTTTTTAATAGATTTACAACCGATTGATTATTGACAGTAGTCAACTTACGTTAAAAACAATACAAGTTTGTGGGTCTTATGAATAAGTTGCTAACTTTGATGAAAAAGCTCTATATTATGGGTGTTCATATGAATAAGTAACTTGATAAAAAAGCTCTATATTATGTGTCCATATTGATGGTCTCATCCAGCATATGACTTTGTAGGATACCGTATAATCCGTTGATGCCATCTCATGATTCTTATATTCCCGATCATTGAGATATGCTCAATTTTCCGCAAGACATGTTTGGGCACCTTGGAGGAATATGTGGTTCACTTTAGAGAACTCTTAGACTTCAAATACTAACATGATGTGGTTAGGGATGTTTTCTTTATGCCTGTCGGCGTGCTAGTATTTCCATCAAGAAAGAAGTGGTTGTGAACTTTTTAACTAACTTGCTGGATGGAAGATCCACACTCATGTCCATTGACATTTTGATCTTCGGATGGATAGAAGGGAACCACACTTGTGTGGATCTTACTGGGTCTCCCCTCTCGCGGACTTGAGGAATGAGGGCTTCATAGCGGGATACAGTGCTTTAAAAGCCTCCATGTTCAAAGTGACCGAACACAATACATGCCATGAAAATCAATATGTGTTTATAACTTTCATGTTTGATAAAGTTGGTTTTCTCACAACCAATAGAGCTCCTCAACAAAGTCCAACATGTCATACATAGTACCATTATATCTCTAGATCTACGGATGTTGTTTTCAAAAAAACATTAGTTTTGCCATCTAAAATGGGGCTAATGACACAATTTCTTGTCCGTTTGTTTTCCATCGATATGTATTGACTTATTTTATTTTTCAATTTTTTAAAAACACATTCTTTTATAATTATTATCATTGAAACATGATAAATAGTAGTACTAAAATATATGTTTTTCAAAAATTAATCCCGAAATAGTGAGTTTCGGCTTATTTTCTCTATTAAGAAATATGTACATTTTATAAACTCAATAATATATTACATGATAAATTACATTCGAATGTAAATAAAAAGGATAATGATTTGAGACGGTAACGAACTATCAACTTTGTTCACATTTAGTCATTAGATTTTTTTCATGCTTGATTTACCTTTGAATTATTTGAAATTGTTCACATTTTACCCTTATGACCGGTCATAAAGGTAAAATATGAGCAATTTCAAATAATTTATGGTTAAATCAAATATGAAAAAAGTTTAATGACTAAATGTGTATAAAATTGAAAGTTTGTTACTTTTTCAAGCTCGTAAATGGTTCTGAATGTTATTAAGAATGAGCACAAGTTGAATATGAATGCCACAAAATCGTGTGATATACCTTTATATTGTAAGGTACTAGAAACACCATTTAGAAATATAATAGAAGTGATTTTAAGCACATAGAAATTGAAGAAACAAAGATTATGGTGGTTTCAGGCATATACTGTGGTGGTTTTAGACATAAACTTAGGACATATGTAACCGTTTTCACTCCAGAGGGTGGGGACGGTCATTGTAGATCGTGCGAGGATGATAAAACATATGATAAAGAAGCATGACGATAATGTGGTGTTAAATTTGAATGAGAATTTTCTCTTTGCAAGGACACGAGCTTTGATTATAGAGTGTGGATGCATAATATTAAGGTTGTGGAGTAGTACACGATGAGTCTAGGAGTTAGTTGCATTTACATTGTGCATTTTGCTTAATTTTCATTGTTTTTACTTTTAACTTGTTTTGTCGATACTTTTCTTTTTAGTTATTATTTGTATCTACATTTTCTATTTGTATGTTGGTTCTATATGTACTTTCTCATCATGCTCCTTTTGATTTTTGATCTATTTTCCATTTTTATTGTTTGTATATGTGTCTCTTTACTTTTGTGAAACTCTATTGATTATTTCTTTTTTTACGGGTTGACGTTTCACTTATACGTGAATAAAGAGACTTTAATTAAAATTTATCTCACTCACTAGGATTAAAGCAATGAACCACAACATGGTTATGTGATACACATTTTATTCTATAATATTTTTTACAAACACAACACAAAACAAAAGTAGTGATTGAAATCAAAATTATTAATATAAGTAATTGCTACCAATAAGAAAAATAAACTAAATGATGATTACAAAAATAGATAATGACTTGAAAATGTAACAAACTTTCAATTAATTTATATTTAATCATTGATTTTTTTTTTCATGTTTGATTTACCTATGAATTATTTGAAATTGTTCACATTAAATCAATCATAAAAATAAAATATTAACCTTTCAAATAATTCATGAATAAATTAAATAAAAACAATTTGAAGTCTGGTTCTTATTGGGAGTTAGATCCCAAGATAAATTTTAGGAGCAGAGGGGCCAAACGCCAATAATCAATAAATTTATTTGTAGCATTTTCTTTTTGCGTTTCATCTTACAGTCATCTATCTCTTCTTGAAGGACAAGAAATCATCCCCAATTTTCAAATCGTCTTTCCAAAACCCTATAATTTGATTTGATCTGTTTCTACGGACTTTATTCATTCTTGTAAACCTCGCCACCGATCAATGTACATTAAGGAACTCTAAGCCGGAAAGATTTGTTCATCTATTCGCATGATAAATACTCGACAAAAATTTCAGGTAAATTTCCTTTTCTTTCTTGTGCAGGTAATTCCTCATTATTTTTCAGACCTGATTATAGTTTTGTTCGATTCGAATGACATTGTAATTACATGATTCAAGTTGTTTATTGATGTGATATTGATTTCGTCATCACCGTTAATTTGTTGTTCTTGGTCGTAATAATTCTCTTCAATTCTTCTATGTATTACTCATTTTGTCTTGGTGTGTGTTAGTTGGGATGGAAAATTCCTCATTAACAATCGTTGTTGGGAAATTGATCTATTATGCATTCCATTAAAAGTGTGTTCATGTTGATGTATATGCCAACTCTACTCTTACAAGTTACAACCTAAATATGGTGAATATGCAGTTCGTAGTCTGCACATATTTTTCTAAACAAGAAATATGGCACTTATCACCAATCTGACCAGAATTTATACCATTGTGTTTATTACAGGTGAGGTGACAGTTTCTGTAAGGGGATAAGATGGTGAAGCTGACAATGATTGCTCGTGTGACTGATGGGCTTCCACTAGCTGAAGGACTTGATGATGGGCGTGATATGCAAGATGCAGAGTTTTACAAACAGCAAGTTAAAGCTTTGTTCAAGAACCTTTCAAGAGGACACAATGAAGCCTCTCGGATGTCTGTTGAAACTGGCCCTTACATTTTCCAGTATCCTTCCATCATTATTTTTAATATTTAATATTATATTAGTTTTGAAACTTAACCCAAAAATTATCAGCTATATTATTGAAGGACGAGTTTGTTATTTGACAATGTGTGATCGTGCTTACCCAAAGAAGCTGGCTTTCCAATACCTTGAAGATCTCAAGAATGAATTTGAGCGTGGTTATGCCAATCAAATCGAAACTGCAGCAAGACCTTATGCTTTTATAAAATTTGGTAACTTTTTTTTTTTTTTTTTTTGATAAAAATTTAAAACTTCATCTTCATGTTTCTAACTCGTGATCCATCTTTTTAAAAAAAAAATATGAGTAGATACATTTATACAGAGGACTAAGAAATTGTACCAGGACACTAGAACTCAAAGGAATATTTCAAAGCTGAATGATGAACTTTATGAAGTACACCAGATCATGACACGTAATGTGCAGGAAGTTCTTGGTGTTGGTGAAAAATTGGATCGTAAGTTTTTTTTTTTCTGCTTCCAACAGTTATTATTTCTTAATATAAGTGTGTGTACATATATATTAAGAAAATGTTTTTTTGTTATTATTTTTGCAGAGGTGAGTCAAATGTCGAGCCGATTAACCTCGGAATCTCGGATCTATGCTGAGAAAGCAAGAGATTTAAATCGACAGGTTAGTAATAAATAGCATGCGTGATTTTATTTTAAGATTGGAATATGATTAATTTGCTATTGCAGGCATTGATCAAGAAATATGCTCCTTTTGCAATTGTGGTTGGGGTGGTTATTATACTCTTTTGGGCTAAAAACAAGATATGGTGATGATGACATGGCATCTTTTATCTCTAAAAACATGTTTTGTTTTTTATTTTAATGTATTCCATTGTTTATGGGGGCCCAAGTTACTTAATAACTTTGAGTTTAGATTATATGGAGGCTGTTGTGTTTTGGCACCCAAATGTTGTAGGTAAAACTAAAAGAAAATATTTATATCATTTTGTTGTGGATTGAGATTGATATTGATGGATTTTATATATATACATACTGAAACTTCTTTTGGTGCTGTGTTAATATTAAGGCGTAAGGTCAAAATTTGTCACTTAACTTTTTGTTTGTACTTATTTGATCACTTAATTCAGGTTAAGTTTTAAAAGGCCACCTAACTTTTTATTTGTTTCCGAAATGGTCTTGATGACTGGTTAACAGTTATAGCCGTTAGCTTGCTGAGTTGGAATGGTTATTCCAAGTTAGCAAGTACATGTAAGCATCTACGTGGCTTGGGTTGTATATAATCAAAATTTTAGGCACAAAACTGAAGAATTGGCGCACCATGTCTCTATCGTCCTCCTGGAGCAGCACTTCATGGTTAATTATCTTTCCAAAATCCACCAAGCATTTTGTGGGACTTTATGAGTATGTGATTGTTAAACTGATGCCCACCAGCTGCTTGTTAAAATGCCTTTGCTTGTTCTTTTTTGTTTTTCTTGAAAAGTCGGAAAGTGCTCGATACCCAGATCTGTAGCTCAAGAGAAAGCTTTTTTCAAAGCCACCATGGCATATCTGAATAATCATGCCAACTCAGCAGGTTAAGGGCTATAACGGGTCATAGTGACCAATATCCCACTAAAATGTGTTTTTGTTTTAAAAAAAATATAGTATGAGTCGAGTATTGGGAATTAGTTTTTCTTTTGTCATACTATAATTTGGTTGCTGATGATGTAATTTATTTATCATTTAAGGGAATAATGTCATGCTTGTAATTATGTTAACTCTCTCTCTCTCTCTCTCTCTCTCTCTCTCTCTCTCTCTCTCTCTCTCTCTCTCTCTCTCTCTCTCTCTCTCTCTCTCTCTCATTTTATTTATTTATTTTTTAAATATTAACTCGGTATCACATCATTTTTATCTCATTACATGAATGACATGTCGTCTAAATGGGATACATTAAAGTCAAATTGGGCACGTTTATTACAAAACGACAATGTTTATCCATAAAAACACGTGCAATCAGTGACCGCGATATCACTCTCAGACCTCAGTACATCATTAAATCGAGCCCCGACGTTTTCTTTGCTCCTACTGCGTCGGCCGATCAATACCAGTTAAGAGGTATGATTTCAACTGTTAGTGCATCTTCGTTTTTAGGGTTTTCGACATCAAAGTTGTTAGTTACTTATTGCACCATGGGTACATATCCCAATTAATAATCCAAAGCTTTTTCAGCTTCGATTCACTGTTTTTGTTTATCATACTTTCTCTAAACAATGATCAATGCTTGAACATGTTAAGCCCTCAATAAACAAACTTATATACGCTAATTCTTGACAGTTGACACATGGCCATGGGTGAGGAGGAACCAGTTAATCTGAATGAGTATCAACAACTGGCAAGACAAGCGCTTCCAAAGATGTATTACGACTACTTTACTGGGGGATCCGAGGATCAACACACACTCAGAGAAAATACCGAAGCATTTAAGCGGATCACGTAATAGTTAATATGTTAATCTTCTTTTTCATCATCGTCATCATCATTATCTCTGTTTTTTCACAACACTTAATCAATTATCAGTTTTCGGCCAAGAATTCTTGTGGACGTGAGCAAAATAGATATGTCAACCACCATATTAGGTTACAAAACTTCAGCACCCATTATGATTGCCCCAACAGCTATGCATAAATTAGCACATCCTCAAGGTACTTAATTCAATAACCCCATTATATAACAACCTTCAAGATTTTCGTTTTATCGATCTTATAATATGTATTCTCCAGGAGAGGTCTTGACAGCAAAAGCAGCAGGAGCATGTAATGTGATAATGGTATATAATCACTACACACTGCTTCTGCATCTCTCAATTAATTGCTTTACTTACTTTTTTTGCTTTCATCTTTTATACTAAGTTTCTGTTTTAGGGGTTATCTTTCATGTCTACGTGCACAATTGAGGAGGTTGCTTCTAGTTGCAATGCTATCAGATTCTTTCAGTTATATGTATGTATCTGATCTTCATCACTTCTTGACTGTTGCATCCCACACCACATGAAGTTAACTTTTCCTTCTGAAAATGTTTCTAATCCGTGTTTAGGTTTACAAGAGACGTGAGATATCTGCTTTGATGGTGAAAAGAGCAGAAGCAAATGGATTCAAAGCTATTCTTCTTACTGTTGATACTCCTAAACTTGGTCGTAGGGAAGCAGACATAAAAAATAAGTAAAATTCATCCCAAATTACTATTTTCTTCTTCTTTTTATTTCTATGTAAAAAATTGATCTTGTTGTGTAGAATGATTGCACCCCAGCTGAAGAATTTTGAAGGTCTTGTGTCAACCAAAGTAGAAGATGTAAGTGAAATCACTAATCTTTTTATTCTTCTTTTTTGGGTGTATATATATATACCTTATCTTTATATTTTTTGCAGGATGAAGGTTCAAATCTTGAAGCTTTTGCATCCAGGAGCTTCGACCCTTCTTTATCTTGGAAGGTTTTGTTTGATTAAAGCAACCCAAAAATTCAATCTCTTGTTGATATAATGAACATGGAAGCATAAAGATCCATGAGTTTGTAAGATAATATGTTTTTTTTTTTGCAGGACATTGCTTGGTTAAAGTCGATTACAAAGTTGCCGATTTTGATAAAGGGTGTATTGACCCGTGAAGATGGTAATTTAGGCCATGATGAGTTTGTTATGTTTATATTTATGTTTATGTGTAGACTGGAGATATAGTCTTTAGGTTTCTGAATGTTGGATCTTGGCAGCCATTAAAGCTATGGAAGTAGGAGTTGAAGGAATCATAGTCTCGAATCATGGTGCTCGCCAGCTAGATTATGTTCCAGCCACCATTAATGCTCTGGAAGAGGTGATTAATGATTTAATTGGTTGTTCATATCCAAATGCATTGCAAACATTAGCAATTTACAAAAGAAAATGACCGGTTTTTCCTTTTTCATAGGTGGTTGTTGCAGTTAAAGGACGTATACCAGTGATCTTTGATGGAGGAATAAGGAGAGGAACAGATGTATTCAAGGCTTTAGCTCTTGGTGCACAGGCTGTTATGGTAATTTTGAATTATAAATCGGAGGGAAATAATTAAATGATGATGTTAATATGGAATTATTTGCAGATTGGGCGTCCAGTTATTTATGGGTTAGCAGCAAAGGGGGAGTATGGAGTAAGAAGAGTGATTGAGATGTTGAAGGATGAACTTGAGTTGACCATGGCTCTGTCTGGGTGTCCCACTCTTGCTCATATTACAAGGAACCATGTCAAAACAGAACTTGATCATCGCCAGTGTAGACTTTAATACCAGAATATCATATGGTTTTAAGAAGTAAGCATTTCAGAATGATGTATAATTAGCAGACGAATAAAGTTGTAAGCATTCAAGTCCATTAAAAACTTTCCAGTTGTATGTTCATGTGTAAACATGCCCTTGGGTTATAAACGGTGGTATGCATTCTTTTATTTCGGTCTTTTTGTATAAATCGCATGAAATTACTACAAGATTGGATCAAACTCTATTTTTGTTTCCATTGCATATACTTTGTTTTAAACATGGATCACTAGGACAAACAACGATTACAAAGATCAACTTTACGAATCATGTGCCCATCAACATGTTTGCAAGGTCCATCCATAAGCATGTTAGCTTAACAGTACAAACAAGTCAAACAAACAAAATTATCAAATGTGGAGCACTTGATGCTCATGAAAGATGCCTGTGGATGACTCTTATGGAAGATGTTCATGCCATGATGATCGCACAGGGCCGCCGATTCAAACATATTTGGAGTCCGGGGAAAAAACAAGATAAAGGGCCCCTGAATATACTACAAGCTCATGACCTTTAAATAGCTAAATTTAGTATAAGATTATTGTTGATATGCGGGCGAGGTATTCAAGTTATTTGTCGAACTAAACTACATTTTTTTATTTATAAGAAAAAAAAAAATTAATTATAAACAAATTAATAAATTAAATTTAAATAAAGTAAATTTCTTTGCTAAGAAATTGTTTAGATGTGAGGTCGTTAACTTTTCACCTAATTTATATTATATATGTGTAACATCCTAAAAAATCATAAGTAAAATTTTCATTTTTAATTCAACAAAAACCATCAAATATTCATGTCAAACCATCATAAGTATGTCAATGTGGAAATAGTTATCAGAGTACAATCCCAAAATCATAAAATATTAGACACTGGTGGGTGCTATGCGATTAGGCCGGATCCTTTCCCTTCGAACAGAAAATACATGGAACATAATCTTAAACCACAAACATAAAGTTTAGTGAGTTCCCCAAAATACCACATACCATACATACAATGTGTCTGCTCGACATCCATCGGGCCCTGCAAGGTATAGATCTGTCAACAACATGCAATGAGCCTCACCCAACACATTCATCAATCCCCGCCTGGTATTGGGCCCTGCGCGGTATATATACAAACAAATACAATACATGCAAGAGTCACACAGACAACTAGCATCCTATACACATAAATCAGTGAGCCGATATTGGTGCCTTTGACCCGCAAATACTGTGAGAAGACTTACCTCAATTCGATGTTAAACAATCACACACACAAGTTGCTGCCACGATGGCTCCTCAAACTGAACACATTCAAACTAACCCTAATTATTATTTAGGGTAATAACCCACAAATAAAGGTCCAAATAATAATCCATCATACTAAGGGTAGAAGACCATTTTACCCTTTTCATACTTGGCCCAACCATTATGGCCTAAAACCCAATATAACGTAAGGCCCGAAAATGACCCAAAAGCCCTTTTGGTGAGTACGCCAAGCGTACCACCCTATAACGCCCATTGTACGTGACTTAACAGACAAGGAAATTGGGGGCTGAATACGTTACGTTGAGTGTATCTAGATGATGGGCCCAACGTACTCCCCTGATGCCCAAAAGTCCATATTAAGCACTTAATGCCTCAAGTCTAGACATCTAAATAACAGATCTAGCTCTTGAGAATGTCTTAAATGATAAAGTCATCAACTTGATGCCTTTGCATGGCTCAGAGAGGTCCAAAATCAAACTCTAACTTCCTAACTTCACATTATGAACAACAATTCATGCATGGTTGAATCAAAGCCATCAAGATATGATTTTATGCTCAAGGGACCTTAGAAACATCAAGAAAAGATAACCCAAACTTTTGGAGTAGCTTTTACTCACAAGAATCAGCCCAAGGGACCAAAATATGCCAAAACCCTAAGTAAAACTAGATCTAAGCAATGAACCATAAAGTTTGAGACTTTATACCTCCAGAAGGATGACCAAGATGAATAAATCCAGGATCCATAAGCTCCAAGCCAATCAATAATTCTCTAATGAGTTCCTTCTTCTCCAGTAAGTACCAAAAACACACTAAATCACTCAAAAGCTCAAGGATCTCACAAATAAGGGATAGGGTGTGACATCCCCAATTTCACGGCCATAAAAGACCGATTTGTTTATGCTTTGTTTTATAAAATCAGAGTAATCTTTTGATTAAAAGAGTTGCGGAATTTGTTCCCAAAATAAAATATGATAAAATTCATCAAAACATTTCTCAAAGAGAATGTATTTTCATTAAATAATAAAACCATGGGATGTCATGTTCGATACAGACCAAAAGCATAAACAATATAAAATAGACCTTACAATAGTTATTCAACTACTGATCTATAATCCAAAATCTCTCGTCAAGTCCACCAACTTATACCCTTGTGCCATTACCTGTAATGAAAAGAAAACTGAGTGGGTCAGGCTTGGGAGCCTGGTGAGCATATAGGGTTTTCAACCCACAATAATATAATTATTATATGTAATCAGCAAACAATCAACCCAATTACCCATCCCCATTATCTCCTTAAGGTTTTACCCTAAGAACCAACTATCCTTCATTCATTTATTCGTAAGGAATTTGGCATGGATTCCATTGCTGCCAAAGCTTATTTATCAAGTACTAAATCCATAGTTATCTGGCGCTAACTCCATAGTCACCAAGGTTCACTTAACAAGCGCTAACTCCATAGTCGCCAAGGTTTACTCAACAAGCGCTAACTCGATAGTCGCCAAGGTTTACTCAACAAGCACTAACTCCATAGTCGCCAAAGTTTACTCAGCGTGCGCTAACTCCATAGTCGCCAAAGTTTACTCAGCGTGCGCTAACTCCATAGTCGCCAAAGTTTACTCAACGTGCGCTAACTCCATAGTGGCCAAGGTTTATACAATAGGCGCTAACTCCATAGTCACCAACTATTCCATCTACCTATGTTCTACCCAACAATTTTGTAGATATAAATACTTACACAGTTTAAATCATTTAACACCTGTATACAACTCCAATTTCCATGCCCATCTCAAATATACAAATAACATATAAACACATAGCACGTATCTCATAGCAAATACGTCATATTTATGTGTTAGAAGAAAATAACTACACACTCACACATATAAACAACAATACACTTAATACGCTCAAACCATACTTGTATTATTATCGTGTTTATGAAAGGTAGTATACACTCACTTGATCAGAAGATGATCGGACAACACTACGACTTACAGAAGTAGTATTCTTCGGTAGATCTGGAAGATCTCCGCAAAAATCGAACTTCTCGCGGGCAGAGCTTCGGCTCGGAAACCGCACTTCTCGGGATCTTCGGGATCTCGGGACTTGCTTCGGGACTCGGGGATATTACCGGGGCTTCGGGGTACTTCTGGCACGCAAATCGAGGTAAAACGGGAGAGAGAAGAGAGAAAATAGCAACCCTAAACGGCTGGCCCTTCAAATCTATTTTTAGGGCAAATTTGGCCCTTGCCACGTCGTGGCAACCTTTTTCCACGTCGTGGGCTTGGTCGTCACTGCATGCGTCATCCCAAGTTGCATCTGGGGGCTTCCCGGAGGTGTCAGGACACTTGCCACGTCGTGGCACTGCTTGCCACGTCATGGTCTCTGATAGTTTTGGGGTTTCGCGCCCCGAACTTCAGAAATTCATAACTTTCGCATACGAACTCCGTTTTCGACGTTCTTTATATCGCCGCGAAGGTGAGATTATGCTCTACAACTCTCGTTTAGACTCCATTGGCTAATTTTGACTTTATTTTTAATATATTATAAGTATATTACTTATATATTATTTTTAGTAGGCCGGGACAGGAAAACTCCGTTCGAAATTCATAACTCCTTCATCTGAACTCCGATTCCGTCCGTCTTTCCGTCGTTGCACTACTATCGATGAGATATTCAATTCTCATTTAGATCACTATGGATAGATATCTATCTACCTTAAATTCACTATTTACATCGCGCTGGGTCGTGTCGGTTCTATCGCGAAACTTCGACAGGTCATAACTTCTTCGTTATAACTCGGATTTTGGCGTTCTTTATATGCACGGAAACCTTGTGACATATACTAAAACTTGGTTAAGATTAATACTTCTAAATAATATTCCATCAAAAAGTCATTTTTGATGCTTATCGTCTCTAAATTGACTAGCCTGGATCTACGGGCGTTACAATTATCTCCCCCATAGGATGATTACGTCCCGGAATCATCAACGAAATAGGAATTGTATAATGACTCCATAAGTTATCTCTGCATTCTAAGTAATAACCTTGATGCTCAACCCTGCATCTGCTCTTCGTACTACGTTGGACTTTAGATCGACATCTTTAAGTTACAAAATAAATCCTTATTGTGGACTCCTTCTTCTTCTAAGGATAAATACATTCATTTATCTATTGTAATAAACCGATGGGTCGTGTCTCGATGACCTCTTATCGTAGTCGGACTCAATTGATATGACCACTAGGGTCGGAATAACAACCGTCTTACTAGTCATTACCGAAACAATGGTAATGACATGCTTGAATAAAATGGAATTAATTACTAGCTTCTTGGTAACCTTGCGACTTCCCATGATCCAAGCGTGAGTCTTGTGCTTCCAGTAGTATAGATCTCTACTACCATTCACACCTACTCATACTCATCCCAAGTATTGTCTCGCAGTTAACCAAGTCACCATACATAAATCATATAATCATTCAACACATCAGATAACAAAACCAGGGTTTATATTAAATCTTGAAACTATTACACAAAAGTTCAAGTTCACCCTATACTATGCCTCTAACAAGTTATGCTTCCTGATACAGACTTTATATATTAATGTGAAGTCTTCATCTTTTAATCCTCCCATCCTTTTCTGCCTCGTTGAGGAACATGTTGAATGCCCTTGGCTGTGGAGGCGTGTTTTTCTGTGGGCAGTCTTTAGAAATATGATCTTCTTCGTTACACCTATAGCACATCTTCTTGATAGGTGCGCACTTGTTGGCGTGGTGCCCTGTCTTCCCACATTTGTAGCAAGTCATCTCCTCGCTACATTTCCTGAAGTGTTTCTTCTTACACTTCTCACACCACTTAGCTTCATCTCTTCCCCCAGATTTCGAGAATTTACTTTCTTTGTCGATTATTGAAGATCCTTCACGCTTCCTTTTCTCTCCAACTTCAGCTCTTTCCAGACCCTTTTCTTTTATTTGGGTCTCAACATTCTTGGCTGCCCAGATGGCGGCTTTCAGAGTGGTTGCTTGTTTGACTATCGGACCAAAGTCCGCTGGTAATCCATTGGCAAAGTTGTTGACCTTGGAAAGCTCAGTTGTAATTAGGTGTGGAATAAGCTTCATCTTTTCCATAAAGCTCGTAGCATATTCAGTAACGCTCAATTTTCCTTTCTTCAGATTCTGGAACTCATTGTTGATTTCCAGAAGATCTTGCTCAG